TTTTCCCTGTCATTGTACCTACATTCAAAGTTCCAAACTTCAGACCAACACTTCTATTCTTCATCTTTTCTCTTTTTCTCCTAACCCAACACCCTCCTCTTCTTCTCTGTCTATGGAAAACTAAATAAAGTGTGTCTTGCAAGGGTTTTTTTAAAACAAGACTGTTCTGTGAAACATGTCACAAGTGAAGTGAGTAAATTTATCAAACATGACCAAAGTCTGCCCTGAGGCACAGTGACCACAATGAAACACGTTTGTGTATCCTAGTATTTTTTTTTTAAATTAATTTAATCTCCCCATCTGGGGAGGAAATCTAGTTTTTAAAAAGGTTTTTTCCCTAGTTGTACGGATTTTGGCACACTGTAAACACTTTTTGATACAATTTTAACAAAGAATAGTCTGATTTTGTGCTGTTTCTGGGATATATTTGAGCTACTGCTGCCTTAACTATGGGCTAACAATAAGTGATTTTTGTTTACTGAGAGCATTGGATTGCACTGAAGTTGTACTTTTTTTCAATAGCTAAGAAGGTTAAACAGTGACCTACAGCCAACAATGATCTACAGAAGTACACTTTAGTTGACTTCAATCCATTCATAATGCAGATAATCACAACACAGACAGGTGACAATAATGTAAAAAATCAAATTGGTTATTTTACAAAACCTTTCATTTCATATTAATGTTTTACAGTATTATGTAAAATACTACATCAGCATAACCGTAAGGATTTCGTTTTCATGTTGTAACTCTTTTATGGCAGACTATAACAAAGTCTTCCCAAGAATGATGAAAACGTGGGAAGCAAAACTAAATTAAAGACATTTTCTCAAAGCATCATTTGAGGCTCCAGAGCTCAAAGACCATAAACAATTTACCAGCTACAAAATGCCATCCTAAGGTGACAATTATGCTTAAATAATTAGCAACATATTTAAATTAGCTGCAAGCTCAGACTAAACTTTGTTAGTAATGGCAAAACAGCAACTAACTAAGTCTTGACTAAATCAAGAGCTGAAAAAAAACATGTTCCTTTGTAACAATAAGTAAAATACATTTTAAAAACACTGGTTGAAGCTGTTTAATCTAACAGTTTGTAGGCACCAGGAGGATAACTGCTACCATGGTGATGTACACAAGATCTGCAAATAGTAATAGCAGACAAACACTTGCAACCCACAGTTAAATTTGGTGGTGGTTCCATCATGCTGTGGGGCTGTGTGGCCAGTGCAGGTACTGGCAATCTTGTTATAGTTGAAGGTTGCATGGATTCCAGTCAGTATCAGCAAATTCTTGCGAACAATGTTGAAGAATCAGTGACAAAGTTGAAGTTGCGCCAGGGCTGGATACTTCAACAAGACAACGACCCTAAACACCGCTCAAATTCTAGCAAAGCATTCATGCAGAGGAACAAGTACAACGTTCTGGAATGGCCATCTCAGTCCCCAGACCTGAATATCATTGAAAGTCTGTGGTCTGTTTTAAAGCGGGGTGTCCATGCTCGGAAACCATCAAACCTGACTGAACTGGAGATGTTTTGTAAAGAAGAATGGTCAAAAATACCTTCAACCAGAATCCAGACCCTCATTGGAAGCTATAGGAAGCGTTTAGAGGCTGTTATTTCTGCAAAAGGAGGATCTACTAAATATTGATGTAATTTTTCTGTTGGGGTGCCCAAATTTATGCACCTGCCTACTTTTGTTTAAGTAATTATTGCACACTTTCTGTAAATCCTATAAACTTCATTTCACTTCTTAAATATCACGGTGTTTGTTTGCTATATGATATATTTAATTGAAATTGCTGTTCCGAACATCCAATGGTCCATAAAGGAAAATCTTGAAAATGATCAGGGGTGCCCAAACTTTTTCATACCACTCTACATGAGTCTCTAGAATCTAAGAACTAAGAACAAAGGTAATTCAAGGATAAGCTTGGAGGGCATTGACAGAATTCATGTTATGGCTGAGTGGTGGATTCCAGTTCCTATAAAACAACACTGAAGAAAAAAACAAAAGTAATGTACTAGATATTTCAATTTAAAGTCAAAACTTCCATGTGTTTCCAAAAAGCACAACTTACAAACAAGTGGCTACTGTGTGCGTTCACACTGTAGCTTTACATGTAAACTGCACAAACCTGATCTACCATAAACAAGGGCATCATGGTATCATTATGGTTACTAAGCTTTTACGAGGAGGCATTTTTTTACAACCTAAAGATATGTCTCAGAGAAGTATATTAAATATATATAATTATGTTGTGTCTTATAATAAGATAAGTCAAAGAAACAACCAGCTAATCAGGAAAAGCCATAGTCCAGTAAGACACCCCATTCCACCCCATCCTTTACCTCAGCCCCTTCCCTTACCCTGAAGGTAAGTATAAGGATGACCCCCAATAATTCCCCTGCCACAGCCCTAATCCCCACCCGTGATCATACCAATGAAATCACTCTTGAGGGAAGTTGGCACCACTAGTGACACTCAGGCACTAGTGGGGCCCAGGGAGGGGTTCAGAAGAGCATGCCAGCACAAAGGCACTGGTGGAGGTGCACCAGGCAGCAATGCCCAGCAGGGAGGCCCCCAGCCTGTATTTTCATATGTTTAGTTTCAACAAGTTTCCTCACACTAGCTTTATTTTATAAGCTCATGTCATTTCATTCACGGTGCATAATAGATTAACAAAGGTATTATGAGGGTTTTGTAAAAATAAATCTTCACCTAAACCTTGTATATCAAAGTAAGTAACCCAGTAAAGAAACAATGCTCAGACATTCTGTGTAAAATATTATGTCCTTGTGTACCAGTACTTCTGAAGTACACTCTATCTAACTAGTGATTAGTTTCAGACTTTAGCATAAAGTGAAGTACTATTTCCTCATTTAGATAAAATGTCATCCACCCAGCATTTTATTTTCATTTAATAGCAAGAAAGAAAGAAATCAATGTCTTCTGTAACATGTTAGTCTTGCACCCGCCTTCCTCCATCATGTGAATATGTTTAATCTTTTAAAAGGTTTAATACTGGACAAGTTTACACTTTAGTTCCACCTTCTGCATTGTATGAGTGTGTGTCTCATGGGGGGCGGGGGGTCCCTAGGGTAGGCAGACAGCAGTATTGGTGTGAAGTGGTGTGAGGTTTTGAAAGACGGAGCCTGTGTGTGTGGGAGAGGTTGGGGGGTGTGCCAGTGAACAGCCGGCATGCAATACGTGAGAGGCCTCATGTCTGCACTATTGGTGGCATCAGACGGGGAAGAGGGGGGGGAGGGGGCTGCTGTGGTGTGCTGTGCACGGCAGTTATGAGAACTGCAGTGTTGAAACAGTATGACTGCAACACTGCACAACCTTAAACATCCCACAATCAGGCAATGTTGGTCACAACAATACTCTCCTTTTCCTCTTTTTTACACAAACAAAAACCATGGAGCTTAAAGTTACAAACACATGAAAAACTCATGACTGCTGGTGCAGATACAGAATTAAACATTAACTAACGGAGTTTTTTTTATTACTATTTATTTAAAAAGAGTAATTGAAGTTCCTACCTGCTGCACTTTACATCTAACCTGCTCCTAGCTAATGGACAGACAGCTGAACCAAAATCCTAGATACACAACCACCTGCCCACACTGCCTCTATCTTCTAGCTTGTCCCTTTCCCTCCCTTTGCTGCCGTGCTGAGCAGAAACATGAAGCTGAGAGAGAAATAGAGAGAGATACACTATGACAATAAGAAGCCGGGTTAAGAGTCTGAAGACCAGAAATGTGTACTTACTCTGTGCTAGATGTCCTGTTGGAGGTGTTTGTATAACAGAAAACAGGAAAAGAAGCAGAGATTATCATTAGACTTGTTTTGCCGGCAAAGCAGCCCACTCCAGTCAGATCAGTTGAATTGTTCCTGTATTAGTTCTTCCAGTCTGTGCACTGCACAGACAGTGAGAGAGCCAAAAGACACATACACATTCACACATGCACACCTAATACGCACAACACACCTTCCCCCGGTGTAGCACACACGTTTCTCATTCTACGGCTTATTCGTGTGTCCACTGCTCTCTGTTCCCTCCTTTCTCCTTTCTCATTATCGCTGTCTGCTCCTCCCTTCCTTTTTTCAATATCTTCTTTCGTTCTCTCGGCAACACATGCAGTCAGCTTCTCTTCGCAGCCCCCACCTTTGTGACTTCCCCTTCCATTCCCCTCCCTTTCATGCAGTCTCTCCCTCCATCTCCTCTCCTCTTTCTCTTCAGCGTGAGCAGAGCGAGAGGCCATTATCTGAGCCACAGTGGGCACGTACAATGGAATGGAGGAGTGAACAGTGAGCAGAAACAGATAGAGCTGTTGAGGGATAGTCACCGTTAGCAGCAGCCTAAGAAACAGTGCAGTGCAGCTAAGCTTTACCTTTGAGAAAACCCTTTTTTCTCTGTGTCTCTTTCCATTTCCTTTAACACTGCTTCCTAAGATGATGTTATATTTAGGTTTGGAGCGTATTTAAGAGCTGGTTGTTCCAGCAAAAACAGCGCTTTTCTCAAGATGACTGAGCGAAAATACAAAACTCAACAACTGAATGACATCAACAGGAAAAAGGAAAGCACGCCGAAAACAACATCGTGTGTCACATTTTCTGTCTTTTTTGCCATCCAGTTTTCCTGATGGAAGAAAAGGGTTTTTCCTCAAAGTCACCAATAACCATTTCATCGATGTCTGCTGTCTTCCACTTCCCTGTTTCCATCCATTGCCTGAAATAAAGGGCTCTAATCTTAAACCTTAGACCTTGAATAGAGGTCCTTCAACAGGCTGCATGGAGTCATGTAGATTGCACGCTGCCTACTCTTCTCTGTTGTCACACATTTTAAAATGGAACTACACGGCACAGCCTAGAGGAGAGAAGTAAAGAGGGTCACATGACTGGGGGAGCGCCAATGAGCAAGAGTAAGCGCAGTGAGCAAGAGAGGTAGGAAACATATGATGACGTAGCTGCACCGTCATCATCAACATCAACAACAGCAGCTGGAGGCGAGCATCCTTGTGGTATGCTTGCCTCCAACTCTGCGTGGGCACATCTGACACATGCCCATATTGGCTACCAACCACACCATACACAACAGAGGCTCTAAAACCAGCTCTTTATTCTAGTGAGGCTAACTTGTGCGTGTTTCTCCCTCGGCTGCAGTGACACTGCAGTTCAGGCTCAAAGCTACAGTTGACCCCTGAGTCACACGCTTTCCATACACACAGACCATGACAAAACTTACTGAACACAACATCACACGATTTCTGTGACTGTCCCTTAAAGGTATAGAAGCAGAATTATTTAAAGAAAATGAGCACATTTCACAATAAAAACCTTTTTGTGTAGCTGGACAAAAATCCTTTGCGACAGAAAATACACTTTCAATAATACTAGTTAACCCTTAGTCCTCAATCACAACAGTTGGACAACCTAGTGCAGGACTGGAAAAACAATTCATAAACCAAACAGGTAATTAAGGCAAGAATAAATGTGTCAAACACAGAGATGCCACAGGCAAAGAGAACATTTTCAGAATCAGAATATATTAAAAAAGGGTGAAAACGTGATATAGAGAGGAAATCAAAACAGACCTTTAACAGAGTTGATGAGACCTTTATGTAATTTAAATACTGCTGGTTGAAGTGCAGAGATTTACCAAAACATTATCATAACATTAGGTTCTTTTCTGTGTCCGTAAATGTAAACAGTCAGGAGTTACTCTTAGTTACTCTTTGATTAATCATTAGACTGGAACAACATCACCATGCTGCAATTCAGGTTAATCCAAAACAGCTGTCCTCACATAAACCTTGACACAAGATGGATTACACCTCAGTGAAATACCACAACATCAAAAGTTATATTTTTTCCTGAAGTTATACCGTCTGTAGCCATGTCTTAGTTAAATTATGATTTAGCCATTTTCACAGACACCTGAGAATAACTAAACCAAGCCTGTTAACCCTTTACATGAAAAGGGAAATGAGAAAAACACTTACAATGAATCTTCTGTAACCAGGCATTGTGAAGGAAAGATGACAGCACATGAGAAACAAATTCTCACATTGATCTCAAAATGAAGTCAGTTTATTATCCAGTTTCGTCTTTCACAACCTCCTCTCGCTCTCTTTCTCTGTTCATCGCTCTCATTTCTGTCTCTTGCTCACTGTTTCTCAGCAGCAACCAGAAAAGGTCTCCAGTTGTAGGAGGGATGACTGAAAAAAGTCCAGTCCTCAGCAGTGTGGTGTGTGTGTCTGTGTGTTTGGTTGACTTACATATGACTAAGCCTGACTCATCTTTCTCGGTTCTTGTTAGAAACGTCCTGACATGAAACCACAAAAGCCTTACACATTTAAAAATTAAAGTTTTTTTTCTAATCATTTTATCGACCCATCAACAGTGGGAGGTCTGTGTGTGTGTGTGTGTGTGTGTGTGTATAAACAGCAGGATAAACTTTTTGCCTCCTTCACTTTTAACACATTAAATGACTCACAGCAGCATCACAGTCATGACATGAGGAGCCTTCCTCCCTCTTCCTTTTCTCTTACTGTCAGCTGACTCCACCTATCTCCACCACCACCAACAACTCATATTCCCTGAGGTCTAATGGCATCAAGGTCATCTGATGTCTCATCTACTCCCCACTCTCTCCACAACGCTTTATCTTTTCATTATCTTTCTCTTTACTACCCACCACAAATCCCTGTTTTTCATCAAATGCTCTGAGAGGCTCAATAGTAAAATATTCTTCAAATGTAGTTACTGTTTTCTTCAGAGGCTGCCATGTTGGATCACTAGTTTATTCTGCACATAAGCTCAAAATTAAATAGCTTCCGTGTTTTCATGATTACTGCAGGCACGTTGTACCTGTAATGTACTGACCTGTAATGTACTTACTTTCAATGATTAGTAAAGTAAAGTAAAGTCAAGTCAGAGCAGTTTTCATGTGAACTCTTCAACATGTTTTATTCCTGCATCTAAATGGTAAATTCTGTTGGAGTTGTCTTTTAAACAAATACATCTTCACATTTCAAGCATTTTGAAGCCCGTCTGTCTGTCTGTCTGTCAGTTCACCGTTCAGCTGGTTTAGTATATTATATTCAGGGCATGTTGGGGTGTGGATAGTCGTAGCTGGTGTAGTGTATCCAGTCATACCTCCTGACATTTGGCACGTGCAAGTCAACACGTATTGTCCAGCTGGGTAAAGCATCCCCAACAAACACATGCACAAACACACATACACACACTCCTCACAAAGAGAAAAGGAGGAGTGGGATTTAAAAGGGTGGAGGGAAGGAAACTGAAAGGTAGGTTGAGGGCTGCAGGGTGAAACTCCACAAAATAATAAGGACGAGGAGGATGATGGCAAGGGGGTGTTTTTCAGGGCGCAGCTCTTTGTGCTTTAGGTTGGGAGATTAATAGATTTAGATCAGTGGTTCTTAACCTGGGTTCGATCAAACCCCAGGGGTTCGGCGGAGGACAAGACACACACCCGACTTATATGATTAGTAATTTTCACGCCCCCTGCTTGGCCATCACTGAAGGGCATATGAAACTGGTGGGGTTCAGTACCTCCAACAAGGTTAAGAACTACTGATTTAAGAGGGAAGTAATCAATACATGGAATATATCAGAAAATGCCTGAAACAAAGAGAGTGGATGGATGGGAATAGGGGCAAGTGAGAAATGGTATTAAAACCACTACATGGCTACTGTGTACTAATACCTGCCAGGGTGATGTTTGCCAAGCTCTAAATAAGCTGATGAGACAATGGTGTAATAGATAGGGCACAGAGATAAAGAGTAACTGTCAAAAAGTGCTGTTTTGACACTAAGGTTGATATTTGCATGATGGAAAAGAGAAAATGAAAAAAGAGTGAGACCTCTCTCAGTGCTGCACATTGGCTGGATGCCAGCCTTGTATCGCTCAGGACTGAGGGAAGATTAGCTTCTCATATGTTCAAGTCAGGCGTAGCCAGGCTTAAAGGGGCAAGCAGTCCACACAGTGGAGTAGTATTTTTTTACATGGTACAATCAGTTTAGTGATTTATAATGTTTCTCAGCATTTTTGGAACAATCCGCCTTTAGGGGATTTATTGTGTGATGAACGTTCACACACTGGGGTAAGGCTGCATTACATAAAACCCAACATTGTCTGGGGGCAGTGGAATTTAGTGGGTTGAATAAAATTGTACTTCCCCAGTGGAAAGAGGTGGAGGAGAGAGTTACCAGAGAGGTGAGAATTAAAGAATTCCATCCACAGCTGAGACCTCCCTCTTCTCCTTCCATTCCTTTTTTATTAACTGTGGCACCAGATGATGGACAGCCTCCCCCATGATATCAAACACTCCCGAACTACAGCAATGATGGGGATAATGCAATTAACCACTACTCAATGTGTCACACAGGCAACTACTTAAGTAGGTTAAGTAATGAGAGCAGTCGACAGTCACAGAGAGTAGTACGTTCTAGAGAGCCACTGTGAGGACAATATTATGACACCCTCACAAGAAAAATTATTAAGACATTAGTACTTAAGAACAATTATAGCCAGTGACATGTGTGAACATCAACCTCCGCAGAGCCTTTTAATAAAGTTTAAAACTAAGAAGGATGGTTCAATACAACTTTTTCATGTCCGATACTGATACTGCAACTTGGAGTATCAGCAGATACTTCAAGCAATCCAATACCGTCTTTTCTCCTCCAGTATTCAGCGTGTTGGCGCTGCTGAGGCGATAGTGTCCCTGTTTACGGCATGTCGTGCAAAGTTAAGTTGAGCTTTTGGGCTAAGGTTTTGGATCTGACAGGCTATTGTTGTTATTATTCAATGTCCGATCCTGAATTTACTCACAATAGCCTTTGATAACATTCCTCTCAATCCTTTGCACTTGTCTGCACCATGCAACAGTTGTTGGTACATTTGCACACAGGCTTGTAAATGACTGGTTAAATATGGTTTAGTGAATATAGTTGAGAGGCAATAAAGGAACAAATTAGCAGCATTATAATTCAAGAAAAATAATATGTTTGTGTCAGTGGATGAATGTGCAATTCTGAAAGCTTTATCATTCTCTCCTCTTCCCATACACATCGCCTCAAAACTCTATCAATAAAAATTAATATTTCTATATGTATTTCTATATGTATAGTTTGATGGCTTTCTCCTGCTTCATCTTCTCCAGATAAAAGTTTGATGGTAGTAGATGTAAAAAAATTTAAATAAAAAGTAAATTTAAATAGGCTTAAACAAGTCCCTAAACACACTGAAAGCAGAGCAGCAGTTCTTGTCTGACTGAGTAGAATCCTTGCAGAGCATCTAACACAGCGCAAGACAACTCTGAATGGAAGAGGTGATGTCAAAACCTCCATTTCCTGAGTCTTTACTCAATAACAAACCACCTACTACACACTAGTGAGTGTGGTGCGAGTGAGATCACATGACCATCCTTGGAAGCCGGACTTGAGCTAAAATTACAGTCATGATGTCATCAGTCATTCAGTGTTGCCACGGAAACTGGGTCAGTGTTTCAACCCCCAGAGAAAGCCTGGGGATTCCATGCATGGCTGATTAGTCATTAATTATTCCATCTGTTGTCACGCACTC